CCAGGCTAGGAGAAGTTGCGACCGTCGTGAAGGTGAGCGAGGGCTCTGTACAGGCCAGGCCCTTGGGTCGTGCGGTCTGTGAGAGGCCTCATGTTGTAGTGGAATGTAGCACAGCAGAGTCCTTTTTGGATCGATGACCGTGGTGGTGTGGCTTTCACTTCTAGCGACCGGGAGCATGGGCCTTGGGTTGGTTTCATTTGCAGGAGCCCCTTTGCCATAAGTGTCCGTTCTACATTTCTGAGTTCCTATAGCTAGTGCTTGGACGTGGGAAGCGTGTAGAAACCCCTAGGCTCTACACTCACCCGAGGCCCCCACACCCAAAGCTCCACAACCTAAGAGCCAGGTGGCCTACAGCTCCATCCGACAGAGGCTGCGATATTTGCTGCCCAAGGAGATTCGCAAGAAGCCTCTTCTTGGGTTTGCGTTTGAGCCATGTTGCTTTCGGTTCAGGGTTTAGGGTTTGGGGGGATTCTTCCATAATCAGAGTTGCTTCGCATAGTAGTACGGCATGGAAGTCCTCGTCTGTGCAAGTTTCGGCTGTTCGCCAAGAAAAGCCAGAGTGGCCTATAGCATTCTGCAGGTTGGGGTTCGGGTGGTACGGGTTGAGGAATCCCGGTTTTGCTGAAGCTTCCCATCAACGTCAAGCGCAGATCGCAACAAGTAGCAGAGCAAACGCACCGAATCCTGGCCTTGCAAACATACACAAACCTTGATACCCAGATCGCCCGAACTCGAAGTACCACCGCTCCCAGGCTCTATCTTGGGGATCCTTATTGCAATTATAGTATAATGTACATATAATGTACCCCAAATCCCTATTCTAATTAGTCTATCTAAAGGTAAGGGCCTCGGCCTCACCTCTGGAATCCTTGAACCAGCAGGACTTTGTGATCCGCTACAAGCTTGGCCTCGAAGGCTTGCCGAAGCCACAGGAGCTTGGGTCTGAAATAAGTACCAAGAGTGGGGTTGGGGTTTAGGGTGGAGGGCTTAAGGCAACAATAGGGTTTAGTGTTTAGGGTTTAGGGTAGGGTGTAGGGTTTGCAGTAAGGCTCGGGGACCCTCAACCTTAAAGCCTCTGCGTACTTCGGGTCTGAACAACCACCAAGAGGAGGGCTTGGCTTCGGGGCTCAAGTGTTTACGGAATTGGGTCTTTTTTTTGGTATTTTGTAAGGTTCCCGATTGTAACATACCCCAAAAGCCTATTCCAATTACAAAGGCCCCTGCGTCACGTGCTTTAAGCGCAGGGGAGGTTTCGTTTAAGAGATAGGAAGAGAGGTTCGGGGGCTGTAAGGTTTTTAGTGATGGTACAAAGCCCAGTGCCAGAATGCCATGTACCCAAACCCTAAACCCCTTAAGGCTCTAGCCCGTCAAGGAGCCTTTAAAGGAACCCGAAACCCAGAAAGAAACCCTAAGCCCTTAAAGAAACCATCAAACCTTTAAAGGATCCCGGATGGGAAGCTTCAAAGGGAACCCTAAATCCTAAACCCTAGCCTATAGACGTTGCAAGGCGGACACCAAAAAGGCCCTCAAAAACAAACCCCTAGCCTACCTGCAGGACCCGCCCTCGCGGAAGCGCCACTGCCTCGGCGTAGAGCTCATCGGTTGTTTCAGGAGGGCTTTTCGGGTTTGGGCCTGTTTTCGTGCTAACATAATACTAGTTTTGAGGGTTCCTGATTACATTTGTAGTATAATATTTTCCAAAACCCTATTCTAATTACTAAGTCCCCTACCTTCGGGCTTCTAGAGGCAGGGTTTGGGGTCTAGGGTTTAGGGTTGGGTTTGTTATGCGAGGCCGCTCGTTCTGCCGTGAAACCCACTGGGGTTCATGCTCGAACTGTTTGCAAGATCAGCCGGGACACCCACCTGAGCGAGTAGTGTTCAGGTTGTTTGCGTTGGGCAACATGCCGCTGCCAACATCAACAGGTCCATCTCTTTGTCAACAGGTTTGCTCAACTGGTTGAAGTGGGGGACGGTCGAGGGCTTTGCGGGCTTGCCCTGAGCCTCGTGCTTAAGGCTCAAGCCGAGCCTCACCCGTTTCGGGGTTGCGGCAATCGAAAGGCATGAGCATTTTGCCACTTGGAGCGGATGTTTTTGGAAGCATTTTCAACCGCTCCAACGCAGAACACGACTGCAAGCGACACATTCATGCAACCTATCTTTAGGCACTAGAAACCCGCACTCCCGAGGCAAACACAGTTCAATCCTCGCGAGGTTCAGCGGATGTCTTGTGAGGGCATTGTGCCGCTCTTCGACAATGACCCTCACCAGAAGAGCTTGTGGGAGTTGTGCTGTGCAGCTGTCGGGCTTGAGCAGGTGTGCAGATCGTCCTGATCAAGCAATTCTTGCAAAGTAGGTGTCGGCTGTGCATGATACTGCCACTTCTGCCGCATGTTGCAGGGTGTGCTACAATGGGCATATATGCCTCACACAACCCTGAACCCCAAACTCTAAACCTGTAAACCCCAACCCACCCCTGCAAGCCCTAAACTCTGAGAGAGAGAGAGACCTTGAAGCCCGAGAGCTCCGTCTCAGCCCTCACCCGGACCCTCTTTCAGAGGGGTTGCGGCATGGTTGCATGCAGGGCAGCAGAAGATGAGGCTACCGCCACAGCATGCCGCATCAGCCAGAGAGTCGGTAACCGCATCCCCAAAAGAAACGGTTTAGGGTTTAGGGTTTAGGGTTTTGGGTTTAAGGGTTTAGGGTTTAGGGTTTTGGGTTTAAGGGTTTAGGGTTTAAGAGTTTAGGGTAAGCCTCCAACCTTCCTCACCAGGCCAAGATGCAAAAAGTTCAGGCTGTCCTGGAAACCAGGGGCTCGCGAGATGTGCTGCAGATGTGGCGAGGAAGACAGACTCTTCAGGGTTTAAGGGGGTTTAGGGTTTAGGGTTTCGGGTTTAGGGTTTAGGGGTTCAGAGTTCGCAGTATAAGCTTCAGGAAGGCATGCCATGTGATATAGGGGTCTAAATCATTACCAATACTAGTTTGGGGTTTCCTTATTCTGGTTACAGTCCAATACACCCCAAAACTCGCTTAGAGCAGGAATTTGGAGCTCCGCAAAACTTTTTGTTGAGGAAATTCCGCATAAGATGAACCCCAAAAGCCGAAGCCGAACATCGGCCAGGCCGAAAATACAGGGTAATGTAGGGCCCTAAATGATTAATTACCAGTAATTTTTCGGGGGGTTCCTTATTCTAATTATAGTATAATGGGCCCCAAAACCCTGTTCTAACTATTAAGGCACCTCCCTAAACCCTTAACCCTAAACCCCTAAACCCTAAACCCTGAACCCCTAAACCCCTAAACCCCTATGTTGTAGAGCTACAGGCTCCTAAGGCGAAGGTCCCGAAGTCGGTGAGTTTGGCGCGTTTCGGGGATCCGGCGACGGTTCGAAGTCCAGCTTAGGAGAAGCAAAGCATGAGAGGCTATCGAGACATAGGGTTAGGCAGCAGGATTTGGTCCGATATTTTGTGAAGTATATGTTCTACATTATACGTCATATACTGTAAACTCTATGTTTCGATTCTTGGTTACATCTACTACATGCGCCACAGCATCGACAGAACGCGTAGGGTTTTTGATTCGGTTCAGGTTGTCAAGCGATGGTGCAGCCTTGAAATGTAGGATTGAAAACCCTAGACCCTAAACCCTAGAGGCCCTCCCCTAAACCCTAAACCCTAAACCCTAAAAAAGACCTTAGAGGCCCTAAAGCCGTCTTCTTGTCACCTCGGCAGACCAAATCGACAGAAACCCTCGCAAGACCGACGCGCGCCCCATCCGAAAAGGACTGGCAGGGATGATCTGCCATCATTCAGCGGATGTAACATGTACAATGTATTATAATACTAGATACCTATAATCTATAGCCTGTAATATATATATATATATTAATATATATATATATATATATTAATTAGAAATCATAATATGTATATATATATATATAATAACATTAAACCACATCTGGAAATTGGCGCCGGCAGCTGAGCAACTGGACCCGGCAAGCCCTTCGAACATCTAACGGGTGCAAAATTATGCAAGCAAAAGCTAAACCCTAAACCCTAAACCTCAAACCCTAAACCCTGAACTGCAGACGCAAAAGTCATCACCATTTCCGACCATCGACACCATCACCACCATCACAGCAATCACGACCATCACCACCATCACCGCCAGGAACGCTGTCGTCGTCGGCCTCGCCATCGTCCCCGTCATCATTGTCCTCGTCATCCTTGTTTTTGTCATGCTTGTCGTCATCATCGCCAACATCATCATCATCATCGTCGTCATCATCATCATCATCGTGACCATCATGATCATGATCATCATCATCATCATCATCATTGTCATCATCATCCTCGCATTGCTTATTATGGGTCTAAAATATCCTTCTAACTCTCTTAAACATGTACTTTGGACAGATGCCGCGCGCTGAAACAGGCGCCGGTTGGAGCCTTATCGAGCAGAGTGCTTTATTCGTCAATTTCAGGTTCCGGTTCGAGGTCCGGCGTGTGCATTTAAGGGTTAAGCAAGGTTTTTTTTTGCGTTTGCAGAAAGGATCTTTCTGTTTACAGGAGAGAGGCTGGGCTCTGGGCCTGCCTTGGAGGTCTTCTGTGCTTTTGCAAGGGGCCGAGTTGGCTGTTGTGGCAGAACGTCCGGATGTGAGAGATGAGATAGAAGAGTTTCCATCTCATATGGAACTGCTTGTGATCAAGCCTTGTAGTCACTGCTTTTGCTGCGATGTCGAGGTATCAAGCTTTGCTATCTTGATGCCATCACAGTCAGTATGTACGACTTTGGAACACTTCCGAGCTATTTACCTCCGTTCCGGTGTATTTAGCTACGTATCTCCCAAGCAGCCTCAGCTTTTTCGGTTTAACTTTTGCATGCGGGGCCATGCAGTGCTGACGCCGAAACGCCTCGCAGGGCTCTCTGCTGCCTTCTGGGTAGGCGGCGCAGCACTTTGGGGACCCTTACTGGTGGACCAGCTGGGAACTGCCTTCGCTATGGCGGACGAGCCGGGGGCCAAGAGAGCGAGGACCGAGGGAATGGATGCGCTGTCCTTCATCTCGGACATCTGTGGTACGCTGAAGCGGCTGAAGCGGACAGGCTGGGTCATGCGGAAAGTTCCGCTACCAGAAAGTGACTCCGATCACATGCACCGCTGCGCCATGTGCGCCATGCTTCTGACGCAGCCGGCCGACCTCCGGGATGACTACACAGCCGAAGGCATGGAGAAGTTCCATCCAGAAAAGGTCGACAAGGTGCGGCTCTTGCGGATGGCCGTCAGCCACGACCTCTGCGAGGCCCTAGCAGGGGACATCACGCCGTACTGCAACCCCACCTTGGTGGCCTCCAAGCACGAGAAAGAGAAGGAGGCCATGCAAGCCATCCGGAAGGCCCGGATTGTGCATGAATGCTATTACTATGACTGCCGTATGCTTGTTTTTTACTATTAGACTATGACTACTGCCATTGCAACTACTGTTACTACGACCAGAAAAGGAAGATTTCAGCGCAAGTTTCGGTCACCGAGGTCGTGGGAGACCCTCTGGGCCAGGAGCTTTTCGAGCTTTGGGCGGAGTACGAGGAGCTGAAGACAGTGGAGGCGATCTACTGCAAAGACATCGACAAGTTCGAGATGGTGGTCCAGGCTCTGGATATATATACATATATATATATA